CTTGTCAATTATTACCATGCTTATTATTGGTCCGATCATTGAAGTGTGCATCTCCCCGTCCTCTCCCACGACCATTCCTCGCTGGGTAGCGATCTCTTGCACGTCCTCTAATGCCTGCATATTTCGGTTCATTTCTCTGCTGCGATGAATCACCTTTAACATGAAAAGCTTTCTCTCGTATTTTTCTTCCGATCTGCTCAACCTCGCTTTATGGGATTGCAGTGAACCCATCAATTCATCAAAGCAATATGTGATCAAATCCTTTGACTCTTCAATAGCGGCAACCACATGATCAAATTTGGGAGTCAAACTCCAAGAATTTTTGCAACCACAATTTTAACCTTTCACCGTAGGAGTTCATTTGGCTTACGACTCCAGAGACTCTAGTGAGAAAATCTTGCACTGTTTCTCCTTCCTTCATATGCGCAGTTTCTAAATCACGTCTGAGAGTTTGAAGCTTCACGGTAAGAACCTTCGCAGATCCTTGAAATGCCATTTTCAAGGTGTTCATGCTTCGTTTGATGTTGAAGCTGATGAAATCTTCGAAAAGATTGAGTCATGGACTGCTTGTTGTATGAAGAACAGCGCCTTGGAATATTTTTTCTTATTCTCCCCCAATATCGCTTCATCAGGATCTTGCTCCAAGTATCCGGTCTCGACAAAGTTCCACAGATCATGGGACTTGAACAGCGTTTCAATCTTAATGCTTCAAAATTCATAATTTTCGCCCGAAAGAATTGGAATTTCCGGCTGCAAGATGCTCAATCCGGAGTTGTTTGCCATATCTATGCTCTGATACCAAAATTGCTGCGAATCAAGAGAGAAATTGTCACCAAACTAGGTTGTAGACAATGGAGAAGAACAGAGGAGAGACGAGAGGCCCTGCAGAGTCTTTTGGATAAACTTCAAAGACCTTTTAATTATTCAATGGGAAACATCTAAATATATTGAGATTACATTCCAAATAAACATGGAATAATTATTAGTCAAAATTCACCTTCTTAAACTAAATATAGTAAATAATAAATATAAAATATATCCAAATTATGTTTTAATCAAATCTTAACAAGGTCGCCGGCAGCTGTTTCTTCTCTTCGGCGGCGGCGGCAACGGCGATGGCGGCGGTGCAACAGCGTTTGCGGCAGGTTTTGCTCCTCCTCTTCCTCCTTCTCCGGCAGTGACAGCATTGGCATCTCTACTTCTCCTCTTTCTTCTCCGGCAACGACGGCGGCGGGCACGGCGTGATCTCCTCCTCCTCCAGCTTCTCCGGCAGCAGCGGCGAAGCTGGCTTCTTGTTCTTCCTCTCTTTTTTCTTCTACGGCGCTCCTTCTCTGGCGGTGGCAGCAGATGGGGGAGAAAAAATTTGAATTAATTTTGTTAAACAATTTTTAATAATTGCATACTTCCTCTTCGGATTTGGTCTCGAAAATCCCGAAACTATTTTCCGAGACCACCAAAATGGCAACGAGATTTACTCCTCCGGTCCCATTCGGAAGCGAATTCCGAGGCTTTAAAAAATTAACCTCGGATCTATTTCAAAATCTGAAACAATTTTCCGAAAGGTATTAAACAATTTCTGGTAGTGACATTTTAAATTTCATCATTTCTATTTTTCTTAATATTAATCAAACTAGTTATCTTAATCTTAATTAAACTAGCTATCTTAATCTATAATTATTTTTATTGTACGATAAGATTTTTAGTAATACACTTTTTAAATTACTTACTGATTATATTTTACTAAATTCCGGTATCTACTCTAATAGACCCAAATTATCTAGTACTGAGGGAGTATTATATAGTACCTTAAAAAATTGAGAAATAAAATAAAATAAAATCGTCAATGGCTACATAATATGTGGGATGGAGAGAGAGTAGAACACAATATGTTTTGAGTCTTCAATCTTCACTGCATTGTCTCTTTTTTCTTTTTTTTTTTTCTTTTCTTTTCTTTTTGATTTTTTCACATTCTTACATCTATTTTGTTGCTATACATAATTGCCTAATGTCTATTATTGTGTGTTGTCATGACTAAATGGTTTCTAAATTGTGAATGTGCAAATACTTTATCAAGACTTGGTCTTGAAACACAAATATTATAGCATTCTTTTGTGCCTTTTATTTTCTCATCAGACTCAAACTTTGTGCAAATCATCTTCGTTTTGAAGTTATATATGTGGTTTATTATGTCATGGTATTAATCAAATTTAGTTTCTTGTCCGCATTATAATTTACGAGATGCATAAAATGGTAAAAGAAAGGAGGCGATCATTGAAAGGAAAGCGGGATTCATTGATCCTGGTGTAGCCCCATTTGGTGTGAACAAACTCTTTGCAATTATTAAATAAATGTATCTAAACTTTATTTGTTTAATATGCTTTTATAGACAAATAAATGGGCATGAAAAAATATATCAATATATATATATATGCTCTCATATAAACAAATTTATACCTAAGCCATTGCATATGCTCTTACTACTTGATTATATATAACTAAAAGATGCTATGAAATTTATTTAAATAAATTAGATAGTCTAAGGCTCCGTTTGGATTAGTTTTTGAGAGGGGCGTTTGGTTTTTACTTCTAAAAAAAGTGGCTTTCTACGTGTTTGTATTGGCTTCTGTCCAATTTCCAACATGATAGGAAACTGCACGGCCTCCATAACCTTTCTTCTGTATTCAAATTCAACTATGGCGTAGGAGGATCCTTCTCTTACTCACAAGTCCGCTCACATACGCAAATTAATCTTTGATCCCCACCCTACTCACTCCTACCTTAAAAAAGGGGCATATGAAGTTTCCGATTCAGTGAGATAACTTCAACATTCTTATTTGTTTTCTCTGTTTTTCTATTCCTAGAAATCAATATGATTTATTTGATTATTTAATTTGAATTCTTTCTTAGTTTTTCATTTATCAATAACCATATGCTCATTAGCCAATGACTTGTTTAGCGCTACACACTGTTCTTGAGACTTCAATTTTCAGATGAATTATGCTGGATGTGCTTGTTTTGTTGTCTCCCTTTCTCATGTATTATATATATCTAATTATTTAAGTATGTATTTAATGAATACAAAATATGTTGTATTTATTTCAATATTTATACATTCATATAATATTTATAAAATTTGCCCTCTATTATTGTATTTACTATCACTTTAAATTTGATAGATTCTAATATTAATATATTTTTCTTTATTTACACCGTAATCATCTTATTTTTATTTTAGTAAAGACAATTTATAAAATATTATAAGTAAATGTAAGATTAAAAATAATTTATGGTGGGTAAATTAGTTTTCTTAGTTTTGCATTGATGTCTTATCATTTTACAACTCTAAATGGATTTTATTTGAAAATTATCTTGCAAGAAAAAAACTTTCATTGAAATAGTCCTCCGGTACGGATTTGCCACCATGTCTCGCCCATGCTGATGTGGTGTTGACATGGATGAAATGTCAGCCGTCACGTCCATCTTCTTCTTCCTTCCCTATCTATCTTCCTTCCTGACCCGAGGCTCCTCCACCCACCTCTCTTCCTGTCGGAATCCTCCACCCCCTAAAAATTCTCCACTGGAAACCAATCACCTTTACAACTTTCGAAAACTCCACAAATCCTCAACTCATTTGTTTAATTTAATAATGCTTACAGAAAATTTGATTTACCGAAGATCCATTCCCACACACAAAGAATGAAACGCAAACATTATTTTAAATATCAACAACAATGAATTTCCATATATCATAAACACGACAAGAAACAACTATGGCAAAATTGGATCAAATTAGAACACACTATAGCAAAATTTCTCATGCAACCACTACCAAACAATTTTAACCAATCAATCTGATAGAAAAATCACAAAGGGAAAAGTTTGTACTACATTTTCAATACTATGAACAATTTTCTTCACCCAGAAGTAGAAGTCAAGGAAATTGATTGGATTGTAATAAAAAAAACATGCCTGACCTTGTTATCGATTTCTAAATTATTCTTATGCTCCAAAATTTGTGCCCTAGCCTTCTTCGATGCCAATAACATATCCGGCGGTTTGATGAAATCTAGGTCTTATAAAGACGCTGCCAGCTTCCTCACCGACCAGGGAGATGAAGGCATTGGAATTTCCGGTTGGTGGCTGCGTTGATTGCTTGGAGGGGTGTTTTTACAACATTTTTGAAATTATAAGTAAGTAAATTGGAATTTTAGTACTACAAGAGTTTTAAGCAAATTCAGTAAACCACAGTATTTTTTTCTATTTTGCTTTCTTTTTTTTTCCATAATTTTTTCTTTTACAATTTTGACTGGTAAAGCAATTTCTAAAAGTATTGACTGATAAATTGTAAATTTTCTTACAATTTGATCTAATTTTAACCAAAGTTAAAATTCTGATTTTGAATGGAAAAAAAATCCACAGGTATCACGGATGTGACGCTGACATTGGGTGGCAAATTCAGCATCGAAAGCCTATTTAAAAAAATTATATATATATGGCGGCCTATTTTCAAACAGGATCATTAAGTCGTAAGTAGCAGGAACGCCATATCTATAGACTCCACCCCCGCCGTCTATTCACAAAAATATATATCTTTTTATTTTTGATTGTTGAATTATAAAGTAACAACTTTTTTTTTAGTAATTGTAGACAACACTCCGTATTAAACATACTCTTATGTTTATAATTATTTTACATAAATACTATTACACCCACCTTTTTTTAATCGTAGGAGTATATTTGTCTCATTAAAATACAATAGTTTTTAAAATGGAGAAAAAGAATAATATTGACAAAGAATTGTACCATCAAAAAATAGATTAGGTGATCAAACAATGTAATTCACATGAATAAAATAAATAAATAAATTGGGTTGTGTTCATTTTATAGATAATTTACTTCAATTTAGGATGTCTTCAAATTAATATAATTAATCCAGCCATACTACTTTATGCCTTCAAATAAATCCAACAATATCCAAGAAATGAGAAATAATACACAACAAAACCAACAAATGGGAAGCAGCATGGCTCAATTCCAACAAATAAAAAACAATAAAACACATCAATACCAGTAGGACTCAAATTTAATTACAACATAACCCAATGGCCAAAAAAGCAAAATAGATCAATTCCAGCAATTCATAACCCATATAAACAAGCACACATTTGATCAAATAAAACACAAATCTCTCACATCTTCTAAGAAAAAAATGCACACAACACCATGTTTTTAAGCACAGAACCGATATTAAAATCCAGGTGGTTGGGAGGGGAAAGACTTACAGTTGAATAGATCCATAGAGCTCCTATCTGAATGTGTCAACTCTATTGCGTTACAAATGCAAGAATTTAGAATGTTTCAAAAGATTGGATGTAATTAATAGTGAAATAAAGAAAGCAAACACTATACGGGCGGTGGGCTAATAGGGTCCTTTGATGAGTGGCTAGCATTTGCAGATGGGGTTGCATCCATTTCCTCTTCCAAACAAATTTCTTGTTTTACATGCACAAGTTCTACCTTCGTTAGGATTACTTGCCCGGAGGCACCCATTTTCTCCTTGGCAATACCTCCCATCGGCTTCCCAAACCCTAAACCATTGAGATGGAATATTAAACTAAAAAAATATTGAAAGCCATATGACATGCAATTTATATTATTTTCCTCGAATGTAGTTAAAACTAATAAGATAATAAGACATAAAGCACATAGTAATAAAAATATCTAGAGAGTATGTCAACTCCGTTCATTTACAAATGCAAGAATTTAAAATTCTTTCAAAGATCAAATATAAGGGAAACAACTAAAGCAAAAAGTATTCCAGGGGGAGGCATCTTTGGGCTAGCAGGGATCAGTTTCCTTCCTATGATTGGCTCTTTCTCTTTCCCTTTTCCTTTTCCATATCGTTTCTCATTTATAGTATCTAACAAATTATAAGATTAATATAAAATTGGCTTTGATTGATACCATGGCATAAAATAAACCCCATATGCAACTTCATAAGGTATAATTTTCAGATTATAACTGTTAAGGAAAATAACATACACGCAAATAGCTACAATATTCATGTTTCAAGACCAAACTCTTAATAGATTGTTTGCACATTCATATTTTAGAGACCAACCACTGCTACTCATGAGAACAAACGAAAATAAACACTAGCCTATTCACTAAAGCAACTAAACAAATGTAAGAAATAGGACAATATTTACGAAAACAAAATACCATTGAATCTATTGTTAACGTTAGAAAACTAGAGGAAATAAGTAGGGAGGTAGAAGTTATCTCACCATTATGGATATCGGAAATAGAGACTCCCTTTCTTTGAGGCATCCCCATGGCTGCAGTTCGAGGAGCTGATCCCATTTCAGAAATCTCCTCAACCCCAACATTATAGCAGTTCTGATTGTTCAGTTGTCGCACTGGATAGGTGAAGCAAGTTCTTTCGCAACCACTTGGATCATATATTTGAACAGACATGTGCCTCTCTCCTACATAGTTAAATATCAAGGAACATCCCCCCTCAAGAGCATGGTCCCTATAAAATATTTCCCATCCCAATGCGAATGATAATGCATTGTCAACATATGATAGAGTCACAGGCCATATCTGCCCACATAAATCCTCAAGGAGGATTTCTTGGTCCACCAAGTGCTCCACCTTTGGAGCAAATGAAGATGGCAAGCGCTGCAAAAATATTAAATTTTTTACAAGGATGCATGCTTTATAAAAATTGCAGAAATTATAAAAGAATTTCATCTACACATATCAACAATTTTGCTACTAAACATCCTAAAACTATAAAACTTAGTACCCAACAAGTTTGTGGGGGTGATGAGAGGATAGTTGTGTAATGTAGTAAATTACTTAAAGTTCAATAATTGTTCGCCAAACTATGTTTACATCCCATAATAATAGACACTACATATTACAATGTGATTACAAGCAGCATTCTCCCAAAGGTTAAGAATAAGAAGTCCAAAAATTCAACATGAATGAGAGAGTACCAGTGCATGTAAGACATGAGCATCATTCAGTACATGGAAAAAACGGGGAATTGACGGTGATAACTCCTTCTCTGTCAGATGAGATATGGAGCCCTCATGACGTTTATAAGCCATCTTTTTTGGTTTTTGGATTTTTTTAACCTTGATTTACTTGATTTACCTAGATGTTACTGAAAAGAAGAACATTCAAAAATCACTTTAAATTGTTTCAAAATAACTGCCACTCCAAATCCCAAGATTTAATAACCCAAGAACCGATATATATATATATATATTAACATTATTTATATAAGCTTTTTTCATTGATACCTGATCATAGATATGGCACCATTTATCCATTGTGAACATACACCTTCTGCTCCATCGTGGTCCTGATTTGATCGCCCTCGATCGAGTTGTATTCTAGGAGCAGCCGGTGTAAATTTGCTTTGGATCTTCCTAAGCTGCGTTCAAACACAAACCAAGACATCCCTATAGGATTGAGTATATAATTTTCCAAAAAAGAAAAACCACAGCTTAGATCAGATCTAATTTTAACAAAAACAAAAAAAAACTTAAAGAAAATAAAATGTAAGAAAAATCATAAAAATAATGGGATGTGGTTTTCTTATAATTAGATCTGATGCTCATCTTATCGATTCTAAATTTTTTAATGAGAGAATCATTTATAAAGTAGATCAACCAAGAAATCAAAACCTTAAGTTCACTTTCCTTGAAAAAACCCCAAATCGATGAAACAATAATCATAATAAATCATTTAAAAATCCACCAACTCTTATATCAAAACCCTAGTTTTACTTTCCATGAAAGAAAAAGTCGAGATTGTGAAAAGAGAAAGGATAGAGTAGAGAAAGAGATGGAGATCACATCCAGAACATGGAACCATATATTACCTTCAGATGGACAAATTAAGGAGCCGGAGAATTAAAGCGCAACTCAAGGGATCTGCAAGATAGAAATCAACAATTCTGAGTTTTACAGAAAGAAAAGACACTACAAATGACTTCCTCACGTATATATCGTCAAGGGGAAGCCTTGGTATATATAGATAGATATAGATATAAGTCTGCCAGCAGCGATATTGGAATGGCCATACAAACTAAGAAATGGGTTTCGAGGGTGTGAAGAGTGGAAATGGACGCAGGGGTTTTATAGAGAGGGTATTTTTGATAATTATTGCGGCGCCTGGCCTCAACTGCAGTTCTTCGTTTAGGGCAAGGGCAACACGTCTTCTCTTGCTGCACACAAATTAGGGTTTTCCAATAGGGCTTTGATTTTCATTTTTTTATATGGACAGTTTGTCAAAAAAAAAAATCCCAATTCACTATTTTTTATCTTCTTGTCTTTAGGTTATTTTTATAGAGGATGAAAATAATAATACAGGCCCAAATTATAGTTGTATAATTCCATACATATGAATATATATGTATATATATATTACTAATGCCTTGTCTTGTCTTGTCTTGGTACGCTATTAAAGCAAGACGGTGGAGCGAGCTAGCAAAACGCAGACATCATTCTACATTGGCTGCGAAGATTAACTAGGGATTCAATGAAAACTACAAAGTTTCTTGGGGAATTATATATATTTAATACTGCCCTGTTGATGTTCATTCTTCAGAAGAAATCTTCAACCATCTACGCATATTTTCATTAGTAGGAATACAAACAACCAGTTTGATCTTTGTCACCAATGGTAGAGGATTCAGGGATCCATTAGTGTAGTGCTGAGCAAAACTTAACATTTGACATCTCAATTTGAATCAAGAATGTAAGCATATATACGGAGCGGTAATAAATCTGAACTCAACTACTTGTAATGCGACATCGTATTTAGTATTAGAGGTCTTGGTATTCCATGAGCTAGGATGAGCAGGCCATGCCAACCTCGTCGCCAAAATCTGTAAGACAAGATCGGATGTTAACAGGAAGTAAGCAAATAAGCTGCATAGCAGTATATTATTCAATCATATATATTTCCGTGACCACCTGGTAGGAACTGGAATATATTTCGGCAATGGTAGCTAAACAACATTTACCTCATGTAAGATCTTTGCGGAGGGCTTAAGACAGCATACTTTAGCAGTTTAATTCAGGCTGGAGTGATCATTAATAGACCGAGTGGCTGTGACAGAATATGTTTGTATCATAAAGTAAGTATACATGCACAAGACTTGTCGAATATTGGAGACTGCAACTCTCTTCCAACATTTTATATATACAGCATCTGATAGAAAATATTTTCAGCATCAGTTTATCTAGTAGATCAACTTGCAGAAACCCACCTGTCCAAGAAAAGTGAGAGAATATGGTACTTCTTAGGACCACCTTAAAGGTTCATTAGTTCATCTTGACACATTTAAAACAGCAGCACTTACTGTGCTAATTAGAATTAATCCTAATTATTATATAATAAAAAGACCCAAAGCACGTGCTCTAATTGCTTGTAACACAAAAATACATGTTGACATAGTATCAATACTGACAATGCATGCCATCATTGATCTTATCATATATCACACGTAGCACTATACATAGCATTGACTGGCGACGCATGATAATAGCATTAATTCTAGCCATATCTTATGTATACATTTACTATGTGATAAGTAGAGTCAATTAGGACCTTAACTATCCCTAAAACAATTCTGAGCTCTAGAAATTAGATATAAGAGACATAATATATATATATATATCCAAATCTAAGTGTTGTTGGTACATAAGGGAACCTTATAAGAACACATTACACTGACATTTTGAATATACATATATACGCCAAAATTAGACAAAAATAATTTATCAAGGTTTAATAATAGATATTTAAAGTTTATTTTGACTTTATTGAATCAAACATAGAGTAGTTAATTTAGTTTGGATACCGACGTTATTTCCGTTAATATTTTCTAAAATTAAGCTACTTTCAATTAATTGAATCCCATTTTATTGGTAAACGTAAAAGGGGTTAGTTATATCCGCAATTACAATAAATAGCATGTTCATTATTGTATGTCAAACAAAGAAGTGTAATGTGTAAGAAATGACAAGTTTCCGCAATCATACGTAACAAACTTCTATCCATGCAAATATTTGGATAACCTAAAAGTTAGGGCGGCGGAAGTATTCTTAAATCACAGTTGTGTCACGAGTGATTTTACTAGGGAAATTTTTACAATTTAATAAATATGCTACCAGTGGAAAGTTCTAGTGTCCTAATTAAAATTTGAAGTGTCACTAATATCTATTTAAATTAAAAAAGATAAATTGTTCGTATGTTTTTTTAATAAAATTAAACCTATTAGTTAATTTTATTTGTAAGTTTATATATAATGATACCGGTAAAAAATATTTATAGAGCTATCGCTGCCTAAAAGTATAGAACAATATAATACAATGTTGTACATAAATCATATAAAGTGATTTTACCAGGTAGGAGTATAAATTTCCCTTTTATATTATTACGATGTAGTAAGAGGATTACCTGCGGCGGGATAAAATCTGGGGAATGTGTACATATATAGGCTACAGCATTTTCTGTGTAGAAAATGCAGTATAACAGCTTCTACAAAGTTAAGAAGTTGAATGGTCAGTTCCTGTTGTAGTTGAAAGAAAAATTAGAAGGATTTGAATCACATTGATTAACCAACAAAAACATAAGCAAAAAAATCTGATTGAAAAATAAAAATGAGAGGAGACAATAGGGAAAGAAAACCCATTTAAAATATAATTACATTAAGCATGTTTTGTACTAATTTTCTAATCACAACAAGAACTGAAATAGAACGCACTCTGATGCATTAGAGATACTGCGCTTCCCTTCGCCAAAATTAGCAAAAGTCGTAGAACTAATATAGCCTAAGGCTACATAAGCAGTAGTATGCTTCTATTTACAATCTTTAGAAAGATTGTGTTGGCGCAGAAATAGAAAAACAGGACAAGTTCTCAAACAATTCTCACTTCTTGACAATGATACCAAATACATCATATTTAAACTACCACGCAAACGCTACTACATAATTGATTTTAAAAGCAATTTAAAGGCATATAAGTGCGCTGGAAGGACCGTGTTGACCTACGAGGCCAGTCTACAATTACGATACGTCCGGCTTTGCGTAGCTTTACAGGCTGGAGTATCGCACTATCCTACCACACCAACTCAATCAGAAGTATTTTTGTTATTTCAAAATGAAAACATTCATTTTAATATAAATTTTAATGATTAAATATAAGAGTAAGAAAGAGATATGAAAATGAATCTATGTTACAGTGGTTCATGTTGCGAATCAAGATAGAAATTGCCACCAAACTAGGTTGTAAACAATGGAGACGAACAGAGCAGAGAGGAGAGGACGTGCAGTGCTTCTTTTTTGGATAAACTTCAAAGTCCTTCATATTGTTCAAGGGGAAACATCTCAATATATTGAGATTACATTCCAAGATAAATATGGAATAATTATTAATCAAATCCACCTTTTAAAACTGACTATAGTAATTAATAAATATAAAATATATCCTAATTATTTTTGAATCAAATCTTAACACTCCCCCTTGATTCGAAAGTGCAAACACCAAGCTTCGATCGGAAGTGAATATGCTTGTCTCGAGTAAGTGACTTGGTCATGATGTCAGCCACCTGCTCATGCGTACTGCAATACTTTGAAGTTACTAAATTCATTGACACAAGATCTCGAATAAAGTGTACTCGAATATCTATATCTATGTGCTTTGTCCTTCCATGGTAGGTTGGATTCTTCGACATGGAAATCACTGCGTTATTGTCACAAAATATCTCCGTTGGTTCAGATTGGACTTGAGCAAAATCTGCAAGAATACGACGTAGCCAAACTGCTTGACAGGCTGATGTTGTCGCTGCTGCGTATTCAGCTTCAGACGTTGAAAGTGCTGTAGATTCTTGCTTCTTCGAACTCCAACATATCGAACCAGATCCAAGACTAAACACGTAACCAGAGGTGCTTCTTCTGTCCTCCAAACATCGTGCCCAATCGCTGTCCGTATAACCGATCAACTTGAAATCGGATGCATGGCTATACCATAATCCAAATTGGACTGTTCCAGCAACATAGTGTAACACTCTTTTTGCAGCACCAAAGTGATGTTGTGAAGGGGAATGCATAAACCTGAAAAGTACATTCCAAATAAACATGGAATAATTATTAGTCTAATTCACCTTCTTAAACTAAATATAGTAAAAAATAAATATAAAATATATCCAAATTATTTTTTAATCAAATCTTAACAAGGTCGCCGGCAGCTGTTGCTTCTCTTCGGCGGCGGCGGCAACGGCGATGGCGGCGGTGCAACAGCATTTGCGGCAGGTTTTGCTCCTCCTCTTCCTCCTTCTCCGGCAGTGACAGCATTGGCATCTCTACTTCTCCTCTTTCTTCTCCGGCAACGACGGCGGCGGGCACGGCGTGATCTCCTCCTCCTCCAGCTTCTCCGGCAGCAGCGGCGAAGCTGGCTTCTTGTTCTTCCTCTCTTTTTTCTTCTACGGCGCTCCTTCTCTGGCGGTGGCAGCAGATGGGGGAGAAAAAAATTTGAATTAATTTTGTTAAACAATTTTTAATAATTGCATACTTCCTCTTCGGATTTGGTCTCGAAAATCCCGAAACTATTTTCCGAGACCACCAAAATGGCAACGAGATTTACTCCTCCGGTCCCATTCGGAAGCGAATTCCGAGGCTTTAAAAAATTAACCTCGGATCTATTTCAAAATCTGAAACAATTCTCCGAAAGTTATTAAACAATTTCTGGTAGTGACATTTTAAATTTCATCATTTCTATTTTTCTTAATATTAATCAAACTAGTTATCTTAATCTTAATTAAACTAGCTATCTTAATCTATAATTATTTTTATTGTACGATAAGATTTTTAGTAATACACTTTTTAAATTACTTACTGATTATATTTTACTAAATTCCGGTATCTACTCTAATAGACCCAAATTATCTAGTACTGAGGGAGTATTATATAGTACCTTAAAAATTGAGAAATAAAATAAAATAAAATCGTCAATGGCTACATAATATGTGGGATGGAGAGAGAGTAGAACACAATATGTTTTGAGTCTTCAATCTTCACTGCATTGTCTCTTTTTTCTTTTTTTTTTCTTTTTCTTTTCTTTTTGATTTTTTCACATTCTTACATCTATTTTGTTGCTATACATAATTGCCTAATGTCTATTATTGTGTGTTGTCATGACTAAATGGTTTCTAAATTGTGAATGTGCAAATACTTTATCAAGACTTGGTCTTGAAACACAAATATTATAGCATTCTTTTGTGCCTTTTATTTTCTCATCAGACTCAAACTTTGTGCAAATCATCTTCGTTTTGAAGTTATATATGTGGTTTATTATGTCATGGTATTAATCAAATTTAGTTTCTTGTCCGCATTATAATTTACGAGATGCATAAAATGGTAAAAGAAAGGAGGCGATCATTGAAAGGAAAGCGGGATTCATTGATCCTGGTGTAGCCCCATTTGGTGTGAACAAACTCTTTGCAATTATTAAATAAATGTATCTAAACTTTATTTGTTTAATATGCTTTTATAGACAAATAAATGGGCATGAAAAAATATATCAATATATATATATATGCTCTCATATAAACAAATTTATACCTAAGCCATTGCATATGCTCTTACTACTTGATTATATATGACTAAAAGATGCTATGAAATTTATTTAAATAAATTAGATAGTCTAAGGCTCCGTTTGGATTAGTTTTTGAGAGGGGCGTTTGGTTTTTACTTCTAAAAAAAGTGGCTTTCTACGTGTTTGTATTGGCTTCTGTCCAATTTCCAACATGATAGGAAACTGCACGGCCTCCATAACCTTTCTTCTGTATTCAAATTCAACTATGGCGTAGGAGGATCCTTCT